AGGCAGAGAGGACCTCCCCGATTTCAGTGGACCATTCGTGAACAAAAGGAAACCTTCGTTGGGTTAAACCACTGAACTTGGGGGTTTATTTGTGACCCAAGCATAGCCTAATGTTCCCCAATGAATACATTAGACTAGGAAGTTGTTAGTCATTCAACCAATATATATTGAGTTCCTACCATGAACTCATTTTGTGCCCTGGACGCCTTACTCTTAAGAAAGCACTAACTCTCAGGGTCGTGCAAGTGCGAGGTCGGCATCTGAGAGTGAGAGCGCCTGGCACTCGGCTCCCTGGGTGCCCTGTTATCCCTCCCAGCCCCAGCGCTGTACGTCTGTGGCGGAGCCAGGATTTGAAGCCGGGGCCTTTGACTTGAGTCTGAGTTTGTTTCCAGCAACGCAAAGGGAAGCCGTGCTCAGTCTGGGGTCTTACTTGGGGGACAGTAGCAGCAGCCGGAAGATTGATGGGTCCCCGGGACCGTCACATCCCTCTGGTGCCAAACTCGGCGGCTGGGGGCCTGCACCACCTGTAGGCAGTCAGCAAAGTGGCAGTTCCGGCTGCAGTGCTTCCACACTTCACACCGACGCCCGCGGACCTCCTGAATGGCCATGCGGGGCCTCCCACTGTCCACAGGCGCCCATCCTCAGTTACTAGAGAGAATAAATTCCCAGCAAAAATCCACACTCTGATGCAGAGGCCGCTCCAGGCTGGCGGCAACACTTCAGCTCACCTCCTGTCACTCTCCTGGGCAGCGGGCCCTCCTCCGTGCCTCGGTGTCAGCCAGCGAGCGTTTCCTGTTACTGATGTTGTTGGCATCACTGATCAATGCGCCTCTTTCCTGCTCACACCTCCTTTCTCACCCGTCTTCTTCCTTGCCCCAAAGAAAGAAGTGCTTCAAAACTGTTCCTCCCAGGAAAAGCGAATGAATAGTGACAGAAGTCAGAAGTAATGTACTTCTTGGGGGGCAGAAGTCCCTACACTCTGAGAAGGGACATGAGGAACCTTCTGGAAATGTACCTCAATCTGGGTGGTGGTTACATCATTGGTGTGTACATATGTGAAGAGTCGTCCAGCTGTAC